GGCAAATCTCACGAGCTGGGTTCTTTTTATTTAAAAAAAATTATTTTCAATTTAGTGGCACATTTTTTTCTACCACAAATTATTATTTTTCGACCAAATATAAGTAAATTTTTACCCGCGTAATTCATATTTCTTAATAGCTACTCGATTTAAACCATATTTTTCATTTTTGTGGTTATTTTTAAGACTGATTAAACTTACGAGTAATCTTTATAGAAGATTTTATTTTTACTGTGATGATATTCTTATTGATATCAATCGTTTTATACTCAGAAAAGTTACTCCAAGAAAGAAATCATCTCAGTGGCGAAAGAAGGACGAAAATCGTAATTGGAATTTTCTAAATAGGGGTAGATATAACCCCATCGGTGACTTTGTAGATAATTCATTTTTAAATAATACTTTCTTAAGACCAAACATATACATATATATATACACATGTACACATGTATACACATGTATACACATGTACATGTACATATATATATATATATATATATATATATATATAAAAGCAACAAATTTTCCATTTTTTTTTATATTTTAGGGCAATTTTACTTATCTCTTTAATTTTCGAAAATTTACAATATTTTACAACCCTTTAAAAATCACCCCCTTACATTTTCCTAAACCTACATTCATCAAATTTCCACCCGGGATCGTTGAAATATATTTTTTTCTTCAATGGCACTTTAAACAGACTAATGAACCAATTTTCTCGTGAAAAATTGTTCAATATCAACCCTTAATGTTAATTTTAGGGGTGAGCATTTTTCACACATATTTATTTATACTAAAACAACAAATTACAAAAGGATATGTTCATTTTTTTACGTATAATTTGTTGTGCTCGTCGAAAAACTATTTTTTGGGAACGAGTTACGCACTCGTTGCGCGTTTTCCCAGAACGATTACAAAGAAATGTTAAGTGGCACAATGTTCTACCACCCAGATTTCTTTTCTGAAAATAAATGTAAATTTTATATGGGCAAATGTTAAATAATGATTGCTTAAAAAGTATTATATGAAAAATGATGATTTTCAGAAATCAGCAAAAATGTAGTTACACTTATGAATAGCTCATTATCTCGCATATCACAAGTGGCACACTTGTCTAATACACATTTTTTAATCCTTCAGAACCCATAAATGAATGTCAAAAAACCCCAAGCATTAAAAACGATTGCTCAAAAAGTTACCATTTGTCACGTCACCGTAACTTTAATATTCATATTATAAGAATTTTTAAATCTATACCGAGTTGCGTTTTTCTTGCGACAAACACCCGTGTTTTTGTTACGCATCTAAATACTTTTCACCCCCACGAAACAAAATGCTCTCTCTCTAATTTTCCCTATGTGTTAAAATTAGACGATGCAATAAATGCTCTCTTTCTAATTTTCCTATGTGACGAACCCCTGTGGTATCACCACATTAGAAGAACACAAACACTCTTCTACAGCTGCGAATAACCGTAGTCGAACTCTTTCTATCCTGTATTAGAATGGTTCACACCCCTCCTTTTAACGTTCAACTGAGAGAGAAGGACTCAACTTTGGCTTCCAAAATTAGGGTGAAAAATATATAGTACGACAATAAAATTTCATCTATTCTCTTACGAAAATTCAGTATAAAAGGACTACATTTTCACGGAGAGACGAGTTCTGAAATCCTCTTCATACGTATAACATCAAGCTCATTTTTGGTACCAGTCGACGTCTTCTAGTGCAAGTGCATAATTTTCTTATAAGAAAGTTAAAATCAAGTGTCAAAACCCTCTACATTAACTCGCGAGGATCTTTACTTCTCATTATATTGGACAATTATCCATTCTTCCTTTTTTTGGAAAAGACTCATTATTGGGAGTTTCATCACGCCTAATAGAACTCCGGACCTGCGGTTATACCTGGGCCCGTCAACCTACCTGACGTCATAAACTCACGCTGGTACCAGCTCTTTTCCTGTGACAACAAAGGGCACAGTAGTGGTCCTTTTTCTTTCAACACACCTACTACTGAATTTTAAGGTAAGTGTTTTATACTCTCACTCCTAACTTTTCTAAACTTGTCGTTTATTTGTAGTAACTCTTGCATTCCTTATTTCAGTTGAATGCTGAACTCTATTTCCTGGATTGCTTGGTTCGAAATTCCCTCTCTCTCATAAGAACGAATTGTTGTAACTAAAAATACTTGTCTAAATAAATTGTAACCTAATTATAAGATTAATCACTATTCTCTTTCTTTCCTGTACCCTTAGTTCAGAGCCTTCTGCTCTGTAAATGAAACAGGAATTCACTGAATCACCGAGCGGCCATAAATAAAATATTATTTCGTTAGTTATTTCTCCATTTGGGACGTAACACATTAATTGAAAATTAGATTTAATACGAGTTACATCAGGATTTTCTCTATTTCTTCGATTTCAGTAAAGAAATATGTTGTTTAAATATCTAATTTTGCCTAATAAGACCATTTTTTTCACACTCGTGAGTAGTATTAACAAATGTAAATTAAATGTGAATTAACAATTTGGAGGTTTTTTGCGGCACCGATATCGCAGTACGTAAGTCTTAACCAGCTCGTGAGATTTCCCCATATATTTCATGTCTTTGTTACAAGGAACATTTCCAAAGTAACCTTTATAGTCTCTCTTGGTAGAGCTCGTCTAGGCGCAGTTACCAATACAGTTGAGCCCTGCAGTGTATAGGTACACTAGTGGTGGTCGAGAGCTTGAATCTCGGGAGTAAACGGGTTAAAAAATTTCGAGAATGTGTTAGGATTGCTATTTTTTCATTTTATTAACATTATCAACATCGAATTAAGACAAAATATGACACTCTCTTAATTTATAATATTAATTTTAACTGTATTTTTTTGTAAAAAAGTTCTATATTTGTTACATATGTGTTATATAAGATGTTGTTACTGGATTTAAAAAATTTGTAATTGATTTATATAATCGTTAAATATCTGTTATAAATCACTAGTAACAGTGTTATGTATTTGTTACAGAGATCAGAGCTGACATTAATGGTAACCTACTTGTAACATGATTGTAACATGATACAAGCTTGTGACAGAACGTGTTACATCATGTTATGTAACAAGTATATAACCATTACGTATTCGTGTTTACTGAGAAGTGTCATGAAAATTTATTAACGGGAAAGTCTTATACACTTTGGAACCATTTTGTTATATTTAAGCTACACACCGAAGGGGGTTAAGAATGTCCTGAAAGTGTCACCAAAATCTTTTAAATACATCTTCAGAAGGTCCCCAAAATCTTCTAAAAATATCCCCGAAATGTCAAAAAATGTTCCTACCAATTCCTGCGAATCTTCAAAATGTAACACTGTTACATAATAACGTTACTTTCTCGTTATATAATGGTTCTATAACATTTTTGTAACATTGTAATATCACAATGTTATCTATTTGTTAAGTATCATTTACAAAACGTAATAATAGAGTAGATATCGATCACCCCGAGCCAGGATTAAAAAATAATAAGAATTATTCTTATTTTACGTTTCAGCAGCACTGTGATGGACTCTCTATTATTATTTAAAATACGACCAAGTGATAAATTCTTAATTCTTATTTACAAAATTGTTCTGTAACTTTGCACATTGGTTATTAGCAAGACAGCAATTTAATATTGCACGAGAGAAAATAAATAAAATAAAACTTAACAAATAACCCAGATAGCACGTGCAATTTGGATGGCCGCTCAATATTGCCAACCTTGCACGGCAAACTTGCCGCAAGCTTCAAATGTCCCACCCAACCCAAGCTTGCATGGTAAGCTCACCGAAAGATTTTAGTGTAAGGTTGCTGCAAGATTGCACAATAAGATTATCGCAAGATTGCTCAGTAAGCTTACATGGTAAGCTAGTAGCAAGATTGGTAAAAGGTTGACAAATAACCTTACTTTGAACCTAAAAGATTTTTTTAAAAAAATGTTTCGTCTAATTTATATAATTTTATAATATAAAAAAAATTTTTACGTTCAATGCAAGGTTACTTGGCAACCTTTCACCAACCTTCCTACACTCTTATCATGCAAGCTTACTGAGCAATCTTGCGATAATCTTTTTGTTCAATTTTGCAGCAACCTTACAGTGCAATCTTTCGGTAAGCTTACCATGTAAGCTTGGGTTAGGTGGGACATTTGAAGCTTGCTGCAAGCTTACATGCTATCTGAGATGGTGGAGTATTGAAAAATAAGATGTTATGTAAAATAATCTATAAAATATTTTAGTGACGGGATTGACACTTGCGCGCACAGTGCAGTGATATTTAAAAATTATCAATACATTTTTCAATTGTACTTGAACAGAAATCACTTTTAGATACATAAAAAAATTAAACAGACTGTTTTAGCTATGATGATGCTACATCAATCTTAAAGTATATTAACTGTTAAGATAAGACAATTATATAAAGTGATTTCTACTTTAGTAAAATTTTTCCGTATGGTTGTACGAATCCCACACAGCACATAATATTTCCTAAATATTTTTTAAATATTTTTTATGTCCGCCTTTGAGGAAGTATTGCTATGTAATGTTCCGAAATATAAATACCTTAGGATTCTAGAAAATTGAAGACTACTGCGCAGCTGTAAAGGCCATAGAAACTGAGATTGACCAGTGCGCATCACTTAAATTGAAAATTTTCCATAATATTTCAATGAAATATTTCCTTAACTATAGCATCAATATTTCAAAAATATTTAGGAAATATTATGTGCTGTGTGGAAATGTAAAATTAACAGTAATCTCTTAAACATGACTACATTAATCCCCTTTCGTAATATTTTAGTTTAATTAGTTTTTAGGCTTATAATAAAAAAAATTATAAAATGTTTTTATTCTATTTCTTAAATTAAATTGATTTAAAAATTATTATAATTAGACATGCTCTAATGATAATTCTGAACAACACGTTTCAGCTTTCACAGGCAATATAACGTAATTCATAAAATGATTAATTTACCTCTACTTCATCAAAACCAGCAACGCTCTGGGCAAGATTTAATAAAGGCTCCAAGCATTGTAATGGTGTAGTTGTACCGCACGTTTTCAGAATGATTCGACGTTTCGAAATAAACATGCTGCTTTCGCTGTAATAAAAAAAGCTAATTAACTTTATACTTTAAATTGACAATCCTGTTATAAATTTCAAATAAAATAAGAGTAATAAGGAGCCATCCATAAACCACGTGGCCTCCCTGGCGGATTGTATGATGCGAATGCTCCACGAAATTCGTAGAACATTCGTGGAACTCGAGGTTGTGGTTGAAATTTTGTCTAAAATGTACAAAAAATTATGAAATTGATAATTTAATTACTAAAATCAATAAATTTTATGCACTTTAGATGATTATTGTTAAATAGTTATAAAAATTTAATGTTTTTATTCATTTCAATATATTACAGTTTATTATCAACATTTGTCGATAAAATCAATACAGCCGCGCCTTTTAACAGGTAGGTGGCACACAGTGAGGAAAAATGTAAATTTTTGTGTCAAAATCGTAGAACTTGGGACAGAGTTGATACAATTTAATAAAAAAAATTGGAGATGAAAGCTGTGACTCTAGAGATTAGAGGAAAAATACGGAGAAACCTGTAAAAAAATTGTTAACCTATAAAAAAAATATGCAAAGTTGGTCGAATATGACAGCAGAAATACAAAATTCAAAATGGCGGATCCAATATGGACGACTAAAATTTTTAAAATGCTTCTGTTTTAATCAAAACTTATGTTTCTTATGTTTTTGGGGTCGCTGATAACGAATATGACCTCCGAAATTCAAAATTCAAAATGGCGGATCCAATATGGCCGACTAAAATTTTTTAAATGCTTCTGTTCTAATCAAAACTTATGTTTCTTATGTATCTTATTCTTATCTCTGTAGTTAGCCATATTAGATCCGCCATTTTGAATATTGAATTTTCGAGGTCATATTCGTTAGCAGCGACTTCAAAAACATAAGAAACATAAGTTTTGATTAGAACAGAAGCATTTTAAAAATTTTAGTCGGCCATATTGGATCCGCCATTTTGAATATTGAATTTTCGAGGTCATATTCGTTAGCAGCGACTTCAAAAACATAAGAAACATAAGTTTTGATTAGAACAGAAGCATTTTAAAAATTTTAGTCGTCCATATTGGATCCGCCATTTTGAATTTTGAATTTCTGAGGTCATATTCGTTATCAGCGACCCCAAAAACACTTAAAAAGTGAGTTTCGTTTCAATCTAAATAATTTGGACTTTTTATGAAAAAAACATGGTCGATTTCTATTCCTCGATTTTTTTTCACTAATTCTGGCATCGGATTCGTATTCAGCATGAAAAAGTACGTAAGTATAGTCGACATAGACAAAGATTTCATCGTTTTTATGCTCGCAGTACATTGAAAACCAATTTTCTACCATAAAATTCCAACTTTGCATATTTTTTTTATAGGTTAACAATTTTTTTACAGGTTTCTCCGTATTTTTCCTCTAATCTCTAGAGTCACAGCTTTCATCTCCAATTTTTTTTATTAAATTGTATCAACTCTGTCCCAAGTTCTACGATTTTGACACAAAAATTTACAGTTTTCCTCACTGTGTGGCAGCACTCTTTTTTTCTTTTCTTTAAATTTTTTCTTTAAAAGTAATCTTTTTTCAGACATTTTTTTGAAAAAATAATTCATTTTCCTTCCTCGTGGAGGAAGCTTTGTGGAGGAAGCCTCTCGCTTATAAAAATTTTCAAAGTGTCGGAAACAAATTTTTCTCTATATAGAAACATGTTATATGAGATCCTGATCGATTGTCCGGATGAATGTATGTGTGTGTGAACCCTTTTTTGTTTAGAAGATAACTTTAAGAGGTTTTAATGGATTTAGATAAAATTTGGTAGGCTCATTTATCCCCTACACTGAGAAAAAAATGCTATTGAATTTATAGCATGTATATTCATATGCGTTCAAAGGCAGATGCTATTAACTTGATGCGATATGTAGTTCATTTTACAGCACTGCTATTGAATCAGAAACTGTATTCTTTGGTTCAGTAGCAGTGCTATAATATGAACTTGGGATATATTGATAATATCCCGCAGATATCCTAGGGATGTCCTATGGATATCAAAAGGATCTCTTAAGGATATCCAAAAATTCGGCGGTTTTGATATCCTTTGGATATCTTCTGGATATCTCTATAGACTTTCATAAATGTCCTCCAGATATCCCATAGATATCGTCAGGATATCCCACAGATATCATCAGGATATCCTATAGATATTTTCAGGATATTCTCAGTATATCTTCTGGATGTCAAGAAGATATTCTCAGGATACTGTTTTTAAAGTCATTATGAGACTACGAGTGATAATATTCTGTGAATTAAATTTTATATAAATAAAATGCAACTTGTTTTTCGAGAAAGTTGTTTAATTTGAAACATTATTAACTAATTTTTTTCTCATTCGTGATTCATTCCTTTATTCATATGCTTAATATTGTCAGAAAATAAATTGGCTTTAAACAATATAAATTCTTCCCCGCAAATAACGAATAACTATTAATATTAATTATACATTAAGTGCATGAGTTTATTTAAAAACTTTGAAAAATGCGTTTCAAATCTTCATTTAAAATAAATTAGAAGCTCATAAGATTTTTGTTTTTATTATATTATTATTCATTATATTAGCTTAACAATTTTAACCTTTAAAAATATATGTTGAGATATTAAATATCCCGTGAATATCCTAAGAATATACCACGGACATCCTGAGGATATCCTGCGATATAATATCCAATAGATATTTTGTGGATGTCTTAGGGATATCCTATGTATGTCCTGTTGATGTCCCACAGACCAGCGGTTTGGATATCCTAGTGTTCAATTCTGAGTGAATTGAATATTGTGAAATTTGGTGTTGTGCGCGATAATTTGAATTTACGCATCAAGTTAACACGTGAGGGCGCTAACATGTTACGGCGTCGTCGTTCCGCGCATCTCTTTAAATTTTAGTACTCACCAGATATCTCTAGAGGTTAGATCTCATCTATCTCAAGGCATTAATCTGTTCATTTTCTAAGTTAATAATCACTTAACTTTAGTTTATTTATCAAGCTCAATTTTATAACAAGGTATTTTATCACTCGGGTTGTCTCTCACACAATTATCGGTCGCGAAATCAAAGGTTAATCTCACGTGCGTCGAAAACGTGCTCAGACCGGCATTGCCGCCAGCTGAGAAACACAAGACAATTCTAGAAACTCTAAGGAAATTCTCACCTTCTTAAGTGTAAATATTGTGTGTTCGCTGATCAGCAATAAAGTGTTGTTTTTTTTTGTGTAAACTTTCCGAGATTTTATTTCACTGTGAATTTTTGATAACAGACCTATTTCCTCACCACAAGGTTTTGCTCCCTCTCAAACACTTTTTGGTCCTTCGAGCCGGATGGCCTGTGAAAAAAGTGCATAGTGAAATTTCGAAGTGTTTGCCACAACGACATTTTCAAGGAAAGTGCTCAGTGAACAATCAACGAAGGAATCATTCTCGTGGCGTCTCAGCGTTGCACGCCTCAAGGATTCTCTCAGTTAAGGGGGGAACACCAGTTGTAACTCAAAAAATAATGCTTTTTTCAAGAATATTTTCCAAAAGAACAATGAATCTTTTTAAAGAATACTATTTATTAGTTAAAAGTACATGTAAAAAGCTGTAATTTAAAAGAAAAAAAAAATTTTTTTAACAAAAACTTTTGGAGATATGAGCCATTGAAGTGGCGTCTTAAGAAAAAAGGCGAATTGCGGTGACCAGCATTCTGCAAGTATACTTCGTCTGAAATACAAAAATGAAATTGATTTACATTTATTATAAGATTATCTAGTTCGTGATCGAAGGATTTAAAAAAAAAAAAAAATTTGACAAAATGGCGACCTGTCAAAGTCAAAAGTATGATTTTCGTTAAAAAAATACGGTCGATTTTCAGCTATATAAAAAAAAGTTTTGATTAAAAAAAAAAATCCTTCGATCACGAACTAGACTTATATGTGTAAATGAAGCACACTAAATTTTAAATAAATCGGTTTAATGGTATTCGAGTAATCGTGGTCACCGACTTGGAAAATGTCATTTTGAGAAAAACGCATTAAAAGTTTCAACTTACTTTTTTTTGTTCAGAAGAAATTTTGTTTCTAAGTTACAAAGAGTCATCGATTCCTGGACCATATAATAACTCTTCCGCAGTGGTTGCCGTTTCTAAATCATAGGAAAAGGCCATCTGTCGTTAGGGTCAGGTATGGCTGGCCACCTTGTATGAAGCCACGGGACGCGCCGCTGCAGTGTTCTGTATATCTCATTTATTTTTCACCGGATCAACTTTGAAATTTACAGACACATTTCTAAATATGTATACTTTAAGAAAATGCACCAAAAAAAAAATCGATATTTCGAAAGTTACAACTGGTGTTCCCCCCTTAACGCCATCTTTTCTACGGTTTCTTCCCCTCGCCTCACCGCAAGTGGAAACGAGCTCTCTCCCGTGTGCGCGCTCCCACTCTCACGGTTCCCCTCCTCTCGCAACGTCACAGTGCCGCGCTACAAGGATCCGCTCACCAATCTTCAGTGAGCGCCATATTGCTTCTCTCCCCCCTGCTCGGCGACTACAGCTGACGACCGGTGCACGTTACCGCTGTGCTCACGCATCGAGGCTTCACGCACCCTTTCTCTCTCGCTCTCGTTGCGCGTCGCACTATTGCTTACACACCACTCAACTCCATTTGGTCTCGTTTTCCCTCGTTCTTTCAAATCTCTAAATCATGTCAAATAACGGGAAAAATTCAATTGAGGAATTCTATGATGGCATGGAAAACCCCGACAAGGAAAAAACCGACAAGGATAATCTCACCAAGGACGAATCAAAAAAGGAAAAGTCATCTGAATCAATCTCCAAGGTGCATCTTGAACCTAAGATCCTTCTCAAGGTCCCTTCTGATCACGCGTCACGTGTCAGCTCAAAGGTAACAGATGACGACGATCAATCAAAAATCGATTCTGCTCGCAAATCATCATCCAAGGTAGAACTCAAGGTATCAACTCAGTTCACAAGGCTCAAAATC